CCTCCAGGGGGCATAGAAGGGACTCACCTCTGGACCTGGGTGATGGGCCCATGGGTATACGTAAGATACAGCAAGCTATGTGCTAGACTCGTGAAGTGTACTGTGTGGGTTACACCTTCATTTAAAACTCCTATTTTTCATTGGCAGGTCACCAGTTTTGCCTTTCAGTGGGAGCCTGGAGGCCTGTGATCTCTAACATCATCCTTGGATTGGATGAAGCTGAAAGGGAACTCACGGGAGGAAACTGCATTCCAAATGGGCAGTGTGGGATCCCACGGAGCTGGGACTCTTGGTTAAAAAAGAAAAATTCAGACAAAAGGCAAAGACACAAAATAACTGTTAAAATTCTCCCTTTTTGACCACTGAGTTCCCCTGCGCAGAGGCCCCTACCATAAATAGCCTCTCTCCCAGCTTCCAGTGTTTCCTTCCAGAGACTTTGAAGTCCCCGGGCGCCCCTCATGCTCCTCAGCGACCCCTGCAGGGCCATGGTGGGGGGCCCCTTTCTTTAGAAGAGCATCCCTGCCCTTTCAGGCCTTTTCCTGTAACACACAGCACTAGTGCAAACATCTGCATGCACAGGTCTTGGCACACCTGCACAAGCACTACTAAGATGATTTCATGGAATTCCCATGCCCGAGCGTTTGTTCTTTTGTAATCCTGGCAGATATTACCAGATGGACGCAAAGCTGGTAAATGGCAAAGATTGTTGTGTATAAGGATGCCTGCTTCTCTCTCCCTTGCCAATATCACCATCATCAAACTTTTTGAGTGTTGCCAGACTAGCAGATGAAAAATGGCTCATCTCTGCTGAATTCCATTCCATCAATCTCATTATAACTGACTCATGCTTGTTGGTCTGTTCCGATTGTGTTTGTCTGCATCTTTTAGCCTTTCTTGCACTGGGCTGAATTCTCTACTTCCGGGCTGGTAAACTTCCAATGCCAATCAACCCTATGTGCTGCTGTGTGCCTCTGGCCAGATGTGACCACCCCTGCCATCTGTGGCTTACAGAATCCAGGTGCTTTGGCAGAGACCACCTGGCCTAAAATATTTACTATTTGAACCTTTCAGGAAAATGTTTGCTGATTCTGGTGTCTGATTTACAAGTGCTCTTTATAAATTAGGGAAATAGCTTGTGGTCATATATATTCTGTTTTGCATTTACCCCCCCGTAAAATTACAAGTAAAAAATACAACTTTTTGATCCCCAGTACCAAAAAAACCAATTTAAAACAGATGCCTGCTGAGCACTGTGAAACCACTGGGGAACACTTGGGTCTATGTTCATTTAGGGACAGTATTTTTATACCCATTTTACACAGGGCTTTGCTGAGTCACACAACTCGTAGGTGGTAGAGTTGGGATGGTTGCCCATTGTCCAGCTCCGAGCCCATAGGCCTTTGCGGTGAGCCCCTACCTCTCAGTGTGAGGGCAGGGCGGGGTCCAGATGGGTACCTTTGGCACCTGAGGGGGATGAGTTTTGAAGAGCATGGGGGTCCTCCACCCCGCTGCTGTCACACTTATGAGTAAAGGAAGCATATTCCCAAATCAGAGGGGGCGGGAAGCTTGCATGCTAAACACAGCAAGCACTTGGGGCGGGAGGCCTCTGGGTGGGGGTGGAGTTTGCACACCTTTCTCTGGCTTGTGCATCCATGAGGAGCATCGCCTGCTGGGGAATGGGCATGAGGACCAGAATGGGTGTGCTTGGGGGAGTGGAAGGTGAACTTGGAAGGACAACAGCCAGGAAGGCAGGGCCAGGGGGACTTTAGGACCCCTGGCACCAGGCCACCGACACATATTACACAAATGGGACAGTGGCCATTGTAATCTCTGAGCTCTTGAGCTAATCACAACCTGAAAGGTCACCCTCCTGGAATTAGTCTTCCCATTAAAACCTCTGACCCAGAGAGCAGGATCCCTCAGGAGAGTGTGGGGACAGGCATGGGGCACGTGCTTTGCATGTAGCATGTGCTAGGTGTGTTCTTCCAGTGTGGGCCAGCCCAGATAGTCTGGCACCTGGGAATCTGCTCTTTGCATTTTTTTTTTTTTTCTGAATAGAGTTTAGGCTGGCCTTGTATTCACTATGTAGCACAGGCTGGCCTTGAACTTATAATGATCCTCTTGCTTCAGCCTCCTGAGTGCTGGGATTATAGGTGTGTGCCACAACATCCAGCTGCAGTTTTTCTTTAGGGATGGTGTGTAGCTCAGTGGTGAATGCTTGCCGATTGTGTATGAGGCTCTGAGTTTTATGAGTACCAGAAAATGATAATAATAATCATAACTGTATTTCTTCTTTGGCAGAAAAGCATTTTTATGGGGCTTCCTTGAATGTTGCCTTTTTCTTTTCTTTCTGTTCCTGGATTTCAGTCACTCCAAATATTTTCTAGACTGATTGCATAGTGAATGTAGCCACAGACGCAGCAGTGTTGCTACAGGGTAGATTTGCTGAGCACTGCTCTGTGATTTCCTTCAGTCCTCACAAACCCCCCGTAAGACTGCAACTGCAGACATGGAAACTGGGGTGAGCCAGACTAAACAAGGAAGCCCCCCAGATGGTCTGCTGGGAAGGCCAGCACTTCAGCCCTGGGTCTGGACCCCTTAAGCCTGCCCTCCAATCTGTGTCCAGATCTCAATGAAAAGGGCAAAGGAGGGACAATTGTACCTTGTATTTTCTCATTAATGCCCGGTGTAACAGACAGCACTGAAAACAACCAGTGTTAACATTCCAGTGCCATTAGACAGACGGTTTCAGGGGGCTCAGGGATGTCAAGGGCACCCAGGGCCACCCTTCCAGCACAGATGTACAGACCCCAGCCCCGAAAGGTGGAAGACTAGTCCTGATTACCTTCTTCCTTCCCTTGATCACATACAGAAACACACACACACACACACACACACACACACACACACACACTTTTAAAAACACACGTTTCACAGCCCGGGGTTTGCAACACAATAGCACACCAACCATGCCGAGTGAGGCTGTCATCTGTGATTCTGGTCCACACAAGGCTGAAGTCCTCATTCTGATGGCCAGAAGCACTGTCTTCAAAGCAGAGAGAACCAAAGGCAGGTTTGAAAGTGTTCGGAGGAGGCTCAGCTGTCCAGAACCTGATACTCCTCATCACAACAGACCTTTGGTGCCCGACCCACCTTTTGGTGCCTGGGACATATTAGGAACATCTGCAATCACAGAGCCTCTTTATCTCCACCATCCCATCCTTGCCACTCCCAAACCTGACACACATCCCCCAGTGCCAGGGGGAAAACGTCTCCGAAGGGGAGTGTGAGGAAACAGAGCACATCCCCACCGCTAGCCTCTTGTGCTGCCAGCTTCCTGTTCTACTGGATCTCCTTCGAACAAGCATCCTGTGTCTCATATTCCTCCCGTGTGTCACCCATGGTGCTGAGCACACAGCCACCTGTGTTGTGCCCATTGATGGATTCAAACAAGCCTTGTCACCTTCAGGAGAGTTATGTCTAGGGGTCATTTTTAAAAGTCACCTAGAGGATGAGTGGATAAACAAATTGTGGTCTCTTGACACAGTGGAATACTACTCAGCCTTTAAAAAAACCAAGTTCTGACACAGCTCCAGTGTGGATGAGTCTTGAGGACATGGTGGTCAGTGAAGTAATCCAGACACAAAGGGTCAAAAACTGAGTGACTCCAAGTGGATAAGGTCCCCAGAGCAGTTAGATTCAGTCAGAAAACAGAATTTGGGTGCCAGGGGCTGGGAAGAGGGACAGGAGTTGTTTAGTATGGCCAGAGTTTCAGTTTGGGAAGATGGAAGTTCTGGAGACCACGGAGGTGATGGCTGCATAGTCATGCAAATGTGCTTAAGTGATTACCTTTGTGTTACGTGCACTGCACCACAACTTTTTTCTTTTGAATCAAGTCAAAGATCATTCAGGTGCAGACTGTGCTGCTGGCGAGTGGCAGTCCTTTTGATTTCTTCACTAATAAAGCCTACACAGGTGCGCACCATTGGATGAGCCCTGTATCACCATGGTGCTGCCTGGCAGAACTCGGTTCCCTTCACAGAGGCCTTGGGGGTGGGGATAGCCGAGTTTCAGGCACAGTACAGCCATGGAGAATTGGAGATAATTCCTGTTCTCCCATTAATTAATGGTTCCTGGGATTTCCAGCATACACTATCCACAGGTAGGCACTAAATAAATGCTGAGTGATGGAGCACCCTCCCTTTCTGGTAGGTTGGTAACCTTATACTTCCAAGAGAAGTCATAAATGTCAGGGAGAATTTTTTCAAACTACAAATCAAAGGCTCTGAGAACAGGCTGGGCACACAGAGGTCAGTGTGGTCCGGGACACGTTTCTGCTGAGACTCTGGAGGGTGACAGGAAGCCCGCTGCTTAGCCACCCATCCGGGCACTGTCCTTGTGCAGCCTCATCTGGTGCCCAAGACTCCCTACAACCGTGTGGAAGCCCCAAGAGACCTAAGAGCCTCCCTTCCTGCCTTTCTGTGCACCCTGAGCTCAGCGAGCTCCTGGTGGCCCCATCGTGCCTGGGGAGGTTCTGGAGGTGACTTCAGGTTTGAGGTCCCCACCCACGCAAACCCCCATGGGTCGCGCTGCCCCTCCCCCCTGCACTCCGCTTTGGAGGGTCGCCCCTTCCAAGTTGGGGCTGCTGCCCTACCTTCTGGGGAGCCTGAGTCAGGCTATGTGGTCTGCCAACTTCCTGCCCATCAGGTGACAGCCAAGATTCAGCGCCTCGCTGCGGGGGGGGGGCAGGTGCACCGAGGGGCCCCCTCCCGGATGCTGCCTCCTGGGCCTCCACGCAGCCCCCTCCTCTCCCGGGTCACGGCAGAGAGATTGGGGTGCCGAGCGAGCGAGCGAGCCAGAGAGAAGGGCAGGGGCGAGGAGGCCAAGGGGGTCAGGACGGGGCCCAGCACCACCCGTGCCCTCGCCCGCCCGCAGAGCCCCGGTCCCCGCCGGCTCCCCTGCCTGTCCCCCCCGCCCCGGCCCCTCCAGCCCCCTCCTACCTGGGCACTCCAACTCCTCCCGGCCGCCTCCTCCGCGCGGGCCGCCGGCTTCCTCCGGGGCCCGGGCCCAGGCGCGCCGGCCCGGGGGCTGCGGGGACGCGGCGGGGGCAGCGGGGAGGGGGGGGCGTTGCGCGTGGCCGGCCGGAGGCCAGAGGCCAGAGGAGGCCAGGGAGCCAACAGGAGAGAAAGTGTGTCACAGGCTGGGAGGGGCGGGGGAGGAAAATGCAAAACCCGACAGGAAATGAGGCTCGAAAAAAAATGCAAAAGGTTAGAAAAAGAGATAAGGAAGAGGGGGAGGGGCGGGGTTCGGTCCCAGGCTCCGGCGGAGGGTGCCGAGGCGGGGCCACCGCGAAATCCACAGACCCCGAGGACCCAAGGGCCCAGGCCACCTGACCCCAGGTGGGGAGGAAGAGGCTGGACTCCCCATCCCAGGTCGGAGAGCCCGCGGGGCACAGGAGTGTGTGTGGACCAGTCTCCTGGGCTCCCCAGGGCGGCTGCTTTTGCAGGAACCCCAAGGTGTAATCGCAAAGAGAGGGGGGCTAGGGCCGCCAGGGAGCGGGAGCAAGGCACCTGGAACCTGGCGCCCAGCTGCTCCCTCCCCGGCCCCTCTCCCGCAGCTTCCTGGGCTTGTCTGGCGGGCAGCTCCCCTCCAGGGCCTCGTGGGTCCACCCTGGACACTTCGCAGTGACGGAGTTCCCTGCGCCTGCCTCTCCGCCGGCCTGCTCCCCTGCTGGCTAGCACTCTCGGTTCTCATGGGCAACTCTGGTCAGAGAAACGGTGATTTCTGGATGTTGTCCTTTTAATCATTTACCCCGGAGTGCTCTGCTGTCCAACAAGCTGTATGTGAGATGTGCCCAGGACTTACCCGAATTGTGGGCTCAGCACTCTGCCTGACGACTGGGGGTGCAGCTCCGTGACGAGTGCTTGCCTGGCAGGAGCAAGGCCCTGGGTTCAATCATGGGACCATTAAATTAATGAATGAATCAATTAGTTAAGAAAATCTACATGAAAGGGGCACACGGGAGAGTCTTGGTTCCAGTGTTCTGGCTGCTACTCACCCCCCCCCCCACTTCCCAGCCTCAGAACTTCTCATTCTCTTCTGCCTCAGTTTACCACTCTCTTCTCTCCCTCTTCTGATTCTGAGAAGGGAAAGGCGTTCACTAACAGCTGTGCAGGAAGATCCGAAATGGAGCCAGGGCTGCTGCCCAGGCAGGGGAGAGAGTGAAGTCAGGGCACCGCAGAGGGTGTGGCTGCTGGGATCCAAGTGGGCTGGGGAAGGGGTGAGATTGCTTTCTGGGAAAGGTGCTCAGAAGGGTGGCCAGGAGCCATAGAGAGGGAAAGATCCTGGAATAAATACCAGGCCACAGCGTCTGAGCCCTCAGCTCCCACTGTACACCCCACTGTCCCCCAGGGGGCAGGGCCCCAGGTAGCTCGCCTTCGCCTTCGGTGAAACCGTAAATCTCAGGAGAGCTCTGGCTTCCCTCTCGTCAGACCTGAAAAGAAGCAGGCCCTAACACAGCAACAACTGCTTTTTGGAGACAAGCATATGGTCAAGAGTTCAAATTCTGCATATAGCTTGATGAATTTTCGAAAAGTGAACACAAGCATGTAACCCACACCCACACCATGTTCCATCAAAACACAAAACTTCTTGTGTCCCCAGGAATCCCCCTTGTTTCCCCTTCCAGTCACTCCCCTCCCAGGGCGACAGCACTCTGGCCCTCCATAGATCGATTTGCTTATTACAGAGATTAAACCCAAGACCTTTGCACTGAGCTATATCCCCAGCCCTTTTAAAAATATTTTGAGCCAGGTATGGTGTGCACATCTGTAATCCTTGCACTCATGAGGCTGAGGCAGGCAGATTGCTGGGAGTTCAAGGCCAGCCTGGGTTACATTGTGAGTTCAAGACCACCCTGAACTACATAGAGAGACCCTGACTCAAAAAAACCTCCAAAATTTATTTTTGAGACGGGGTCTCACTAAATTGCTAAATTGCCTAGGCTGGGTTTGAATTTGTAATTCTCCTGCCTCAGCTTCCCAGAGTGCTGGCATTACAGGTGTTCATCACCGTGCCCCAAGGCATGCATAGCTTCCTTTGGGAGTCTGTCCTCTTTCACTCAATGTCATATTTTCAAGATTTATCAACAGTATCTCAGGCAGGTATAGTTCACTTAAGACATGCCTTACCCCTATGTCCCCAATAAGTCTTATTAAAACTTTTTAACTTTTAGAAAATTTAAAAGAATTGTATAGTGAATATCCGTATGTCCCACTATTTGATTCTACAATTAACATTTTGCCATCTATCTATCCCTTGATCCTTATTTCTGACACATTTTAAAATAAGTTGCAGACATCAGTATCTATTGCCCTAAATGCTCTATCATGTATATTATTAATTAGAGAATTTTTTAAAGGTAAAATTTACATAGGGATTTTTTCCTACCCTTGGAACTGGGGATTGTACTGAGCTGCATCCCCACGCCTTTTTAAATGTTTTATTTTGAGACAGGGTCTTGCTAACTTGCTCAGGCTGGGCTTGAACTTGGCATCTCCCCGCCTCAGCCTCCCTGAGTGGTGGAATCACAGCGAGCACCACCCTGAAATGAGTCTTGATAAATGTGTATGCCATGCCACCCCAACCCTCATAAAGTCAGAACTATGCGGTACAATATGACAGCCACTAACCACACTTGATGATTGAACACTTGACAGGTGGCTGGTACAAATAGAAGTGAATTTATAATTCTATTTAATTTTACTTAATCTAAATCTAAAGAAGCTGATACAGTGACCCTTCAGGTGTTGACCTCAGTTCGTTCCAAATTCATATTTGAACACTGAAAAGTTCAAGAACTGAACATAATTTTGCCATAAGAAACAAGAAATAATGGAAAACCAAATAATTGTTCGGAGGCCCCAAAATTATACTTATAAATTCATTTTTCCGGGACTTTAACAAATTTCACAATGATTTCTTTCTTTCACTCTGTTGTGGTTCTCAGTTTGCCTCTTCGTTTCACTGCTGGCATCACTAATTTTCTTTGGAGCCACAATTAAGATATTTTACACAAATAAAGCACACACATACATGCAAAAGCACCATGCAAAATGTTTTAATGCATTAACACAAGCACCATATGTTGTCTGGTGAGAGTGACCCTTAGACTGAAGCGTCGCCCCTTTGTGTCCATGGTGAGTCATTAGGGTCTGCGACTCACTCTCGGCTGTACAGGTTTTTTCAAGTCAGATTTTTGGTTCAGCTATCGAGCAAAGTTCCGAACACTGAGCAGATTATTTTCAAACTTTGCCTTTTGAGCACTGGAAGGTTTGAGCGTGGAGCTGTTAACCACTGAGGTATCACTGTACTTATTTCTGTTATTAGAAAACTTTTAAATTTACCTGAAGCAGTTTGAGGATGTCTGTCAATTTATACACTGTGTGAAATGTAAACACAGCTAATGTTTCTGAGAAAAATTTCATGCCTGCCTTGATGTGCTGTAAGCGTGAAAGACACGGGAGTTTGCAGAGTTCACATGTATAAAGGAATGTAAGCATCTCATCAGTTATTTTTATGTTGATTGCATGTTGAAGTAATACTTTCGGTAAATTGGGTTAAATAAAATAACTTATTAAAATGAATTTCACCTGTTTCTCTTTTAGTGTTGCCACTAGGAAATTTTAAATTACACATTTTATTTCTTTTTTATTTGCCTATGTTTGTGATACGTAATGAATACATTCATCTCAGGGAGTTGGTACATGTGCACATCGTGTCATAACCCTTTTACTTCTCCCTTCTCCTCCCTCGCTCCAGTCTCCCCCATTCCCAGATGTCCTTCTCGACTCCTTCCTGTTCCTATCATCTGACTCTTATCTTGCTCTTTAAATTATTTATACTTTGGGGTTCTCATATTATAGATGCCATGCGGTATTTAACTCTCTGTGTCTGGTTTGTTTCACTTAACATTATCACCTCCAGGTACATCTGTTTTCCCACAAATGACTCCTTAGCCTTCCTTATGGCTGAATACTCCACTGAGTTTTCTTTGACCTAGAACATGGCCATCATCCTATCAAGTTTTCTCACTCCAAGATCTGCCCTTTTTGTAACCTGATTCCTCTCTGACACCAGGGAAGAGACTCCCAAAGTCCTTGAATGAGGACTTCTGATGCCAGACAGACAGATTTCCGTAGACTGCAATATTGATTATGCCCAAAGCAGGCTGTAAGCAGTCCAGGCTGTGAAAAGTCACCCCATAATTGGCTTATTTATAGAAGTGATTCTTGCCAAAGCCTATCTGTCCAGGTCAGAGTGACTCGCACCCAAATTCCATTCCCACAGCTACAACCTTCTCACTAGAAGGACAATGTTTTAATTACAACTATATGTTTTGTCTATCCTGTTCCTAATTCGAGAATGCTTTGTTTTGTCCTTTACTAGCCTTGTTTACCTTAATTTCCATGGAAACCACATGTAGTCCTGCCCTTGCATGTGGTTCACTTTTACCCCAATTGATTGCCAATAAAAATCAGTGGCTTGAAGAGGATCATACACCCTGATCAAGTGGGATTCATCCCAGGGATGCAGGGATGGTTCAATATATGAAAATCAATCAACGTAATACACTATATCAATA